GGGGGTAACCTTATGGAGCGCATCATGCAGTCTCTGCTCCATCCTACCTGTTCATCTTTTGTCCCCACCCCCTAATTGCAACAAAACCATGAGCGCCCCTGCAGCCACATCGTTTTGATGTAACAGGTAGCATGCGCTGACAGCTTTACTTGTTGATATGCAATACATGTAGGAGAAGAGTGGCCGAACATGGGAGCGTGCTCGGCCACTGTTTATTCATTTGGCGCCACCCTCAGGCGCTCGTAATAATAAAGGAGGGAAGCAATATCTGCTGAGGAAATTAGAGGCACTGACGCTCACGTTGTGTCCGATGCTGTTGTACTGCACATCTTAATTTGCTCTCAGCGCTTTTGAAATCATAAGAACAAGAACATTTGAAGAAAAAGTAAAAACACACAAACTTTCTTTTCCAAAGCCCATGCAGCTGGAGACGTTCCAATTAATCTAAAGAGACATTCCGTTTACAAATTGTTTAGGAGGTGTAAAGAAAGATAAGAGTAAAAGTCATCCTGACTAGAGAAACTGAATTCCCTGCGAAAATGCAGTGTGGATGATTATTGCAGAAGAACTCGCTGAAAAACAGCTGAAATTAGTTTAAAAAGGGAATCTGAAATGAAGCTGAAATGGAAGAACACGTCTAAATTAGCTGAAGAAAACAGAATAACACATATTTGCTGAATTAGGTTTAAAAAAGCAGAAATTACAACAAAAATGTGGAAATAAGCTAAAAAAAACCCAGCTGAGATTAGTTTAATAATAAAAAAATTAAAAAGCATAGTGGAAAAGTAACTAAAAAGACAGAAACCTTACACTACCAGAAGGAAATGGAAAGAACTGAAATGAGCTAAACAATGTGGAATTAGCTGAAAAGGCTAAACATAGTGTAACATAACATGGGGAATGGTGGTTTAGAAAAAAGTACACATATGTTATTATTGTTTATTGCTGTTGTTCACTGTTGTCATCACTCTTTGTTAAAAATTCAGGTCTCCCTTGTAAATGAGTCCCTGAGGCTCAGTGAGATTAACCTGTATAAATAAAGGTTGAATGAACTTGCCTCCACCCTCATTTGCCCCACTCTGGTCCCCTGAGCAAGGCCCTTAACCCCCCCCCCCAAAAAAAATCTGGTACGTCTTGAAAAGGAGTTCTCGTAACTCAATGAGGCTGCTTGTATAAATACAAGGTGAATGAAAATGAAAAAAAAAAATATATATAGAATCAAATAGCTAAATAGTAGCTGAAATAGCAGAAAAGAAATAAGCTGAAATGAGGAAAAAAATGCTGAAAATATCAGAAAGAAGTTAATTAGGCTGACAGTACCAGAAATGAGCGCAAAAATGTGGAATTAGCTGAAAACGTTAAAATTTGCATAAAAACAGCTAACAGTAGCTGAAACAGCAGAAAAAGCAGAAATAGCAGAAACATGTAAATAGGCTGAACTGAAATTAGCAGAAATATGGTAGAAGAAGCACAAAAAAAAAGTTATAGTTAGCAGAAATAATCTGAAAGGAGCACAAAACAGCTGAAGAAATAGCTGAAATTAGCCAAAAGTAGCTGCTAAACAGTTTGATTTTGCACAAGGAAGCTGGAAGAATCTGAACCAGAACAAATTGTGAAAGGAGCAGTAAAAGGCTGACAGATCTAAAGATTTGAAATATGTTAAATGAGCTCATTTAATTTTCTTTGAGGAAAAATGGCAGAACATTATAAATATTTCAAAAAGGCTAAAGTTGCACCAATGTCAAAAGTTATAACAGGATTGTCCTGAAAGAGCTGAACATTTTCATATATGCTTTGTTGAAATAGCTTCCAAACTGTGGAAGCCAAAAAATGTACGGAAGAAAAATGGATCACAATAGTGTGAATGCTTCATAAGCGTTCACCCAATGATGCTATGATGCTGGCAGTGGCTCATTAGGGTCACCATGGTAACCATACACCTGCAAGTTTTTGCAGTCTTGGATCAAGTATTTCGCAGTGAAGTAAATCAAGACCATAACTGGTTGTGGTTGTTCAATGAGAGTGACTCACCAGCAGCTGATCCAGCACTCTCATGGCTGAAAGATGCCACAAACATCAAGCAGTGTCCAAAATGATGTGCTGCTGCGTCCGGCGTCTTTTCCCCTTCGTGTCCGGAGCCGTGTCTTTTTATTTGGTCTGTATATATTGGAGCTGTTGGGCAAAAACCTTGTTCCTCCATGTTTAACTTTTTTTTTTTTTTGTTAGGCTAAAATCACCTGCATTTGTTACCCTGCACATCTGTTTGTGTTATAACTAATGGAAAATGTCAATAAGAGCAAATGAAGCTGTGAAGACATTTAAAAAAAAAAAAAGGTTATTTTCCCTGAAATGTTGCATTTTTCCCTCTGTCCTACAGCAACAATCTAAAATAACGAGCGTCAACACCAGTGCTTCGTTTTGTTTTCATATTTACTCCATTGTCCTTGTTCAGTTCAGTTCTCCTGTTGGCAAAATGTTGTACAGTTAGGCTTCTATTTAATTTGAGATCATACAGGATGACACAGCTTGTTATTGAGATTTTAGAGTGTTGAGCTCACACAAGGATGCATGCCATATCCGACGGCTGAAAACCATACCATTGTAAGGCAGGCAGAAAGAAATGCAGAGTAGAAATAATTTAAGCCTCAAACAGTTTTAATGGAAAAGTTGGGGGAAAAGAAAAAAAGAATCCTGAATCAGAAGTGGCAATTGCCTGCAGCTGTCAGCAATTTTGTATCCACCATAGGTTAACTTTTTATTTAATGGGCAATAATCTGTAGAAATCTGATTTCAATTTAACACTGAAAAAGTTTTTTTTATTTTATTTTTTTACTTTTTTGGCAAAAAAGGCATTTTTTAAATTGGCTGTGGTTGACTTACTGCAGCAAAAAAAAGGCATAAAACATCTGAGGAGTGAATACATTTTATAGGCACTGTAAAATCAAAGTTCCTGTGACACGTTTAAGCTTTCAATATCCATCCATTATCTTTTACCCGTGTCTTCCTTTTCGGGTCGCGAGAGTCGCTGGTGCCCATAAAAAACATTCACTCTCTCACTCACACCTAGAGACAATTTAGAGTTACCAATCCGCCTAACATGCATGTTTTTGGTCTGTGGGAGGAAAATGAAACCACACATCACGGAGAAAACATGCAAACTCCACCCAAAAAGGCCCCCGGCCGGGACTTGAACCGACATCCTTTTCGCTGAGAGGTGGCAACTCTATCAACTAAGCAACCATGTTGCCAAGATTTGAATAAGGATTTTATATGATGGAGTGTGTTTAAGCTATAGAGCTTCATAAAGAGTTGTGTTTTCCTGTTTGTTTGGCAAAAATCTCATCTCTGTGTGGATGTTTTTTTTTCTCTTCTTTTTTTCTTAGTGTTATTAACACTATTTCTCATATTTCTACCAAAACATGTAACATGCTATTTCTAAACAAGCCGCATGCTCTGATGTGTTGTTTGTGTGAGTTTTGTTCAACGCTGTGGCAGCAACTCATAAGCAACGATGGAGACTAAAGAATAAATGGTGAATCCTAATAAGAGTGCTTCAGTGCAGATGTGTTGGCTTCCTTAATGGAAAATTCTACAGTGTTTGTGTATTTTGGAATATAGAACATGTTAAATCTTCTAAGAAGAAGAATAATATACAAACTAACACACACACACACACACACACACACAAAGAAACAATGCTGTAGCTCAAGGCTATAAATCAGTATCGCTCAGCAGGGAGTGAAATCCATCCTATGCTACAGCTGCTCTCATCCTTTATTCCTCATAAACACTTAACACCAGTGATCATAACTGTTTAAGCATAAAGCAATAGACCAGGATCAATGAGTCAAGCGTGCCGGCGTGTGCCACAAAGGAAAGCCTTAAGCAATGCACTCCGGAGAAAACTTGATTTTCCCCATCTTCCCTCATGCCATTCTGAAGCAAGAGTTTATCAGAGTGTTTCCAGTCTGTGATCCTTTACTCCTCCCCCATCTCTCATTAGCAGCAAACACACAGCTGTTGGGTTACCTCTCCAGGGCTCCCATTAAGAGCTGCCACTCAGGCTTACAGTGTCCCTGAGCCAATCATGTTAGAGCTCCCACCCACGCGCCCCATGCTGCTGCTCAACAGCCATTCTAATGGCAGTCAGGTATTTTCACAGGTGGGCCTGGAGTTGTCAGAGGGCAGGTAAAGTTAGCGAGGCACACATTAATTTTATGCAAACAAATTAAAGGCCATTAATGGATAATTAGGAAATTC